CGGGGAAAAGGCGGGGGGGGGGGGGGGGGGGAGTGAGACACTGTAGGGAAGATAAGGACACGTCTGGGTTAGAGCCTCTCCTATAAAGACAAGCAGCATAGTCTTCATTAGCTGGGGGGGAGGGGCAATGATCATTTTTAATCCTTGGCTTGGGTTAGGCTTTACCATTTCAGGAATTGGTTACATATCGGGCAGAATGTGAAGTGTTGAACATTACGGGGGTCCCATATAATGTTAGGGGCGGAGTTGGGGATAATGACATATGAGGGGTCTTCCGGGGGTGCTAAGAGCCTCACAGTGAAAACTACTCAGATCTGGGGCTCCTGACTCCAAAACCCAATGTACTGTCATTGATGACCTCCTTCCATAAACCAACTGATCCCTTATCTCACCTCCCTCTCTGCCGAGATCATCTACCCACTGATCCCTCATCTCACCTCCCTCCCACCCGAGATCATCTACCCACTGATCCACCATGTACACCTCATCTTACCTCCCTCATACCTGAGATCATCTACCCACTGATCTACTAAGTACTTCTCCTCCCACTTCCCTCATACCTGAGATCATCTACCCACTGATCCTCTCTGTACTCCTCATCTCACCTCCCTCATACCTGAGATCATATATCCACTGATCCCTCATCTCACCTCCCTCCCGAGATCATCTACCCACTGATCCCTCATCTCACCTCCCTCCCACCAGAGATCATCTACCCACTGATCCACCATGTACACCTCATCTTACCTCCCTCATACCTGAGATCATCTACCCACTGATCTACTAAGTACTTCTCCTCCCCCTTCCCTCCCACCAGAGATCATCTACCCACTGATCCACCATGTACACCTCATCTTACCTCCCTCATACCTGAGATCATCTACCCACTGATCCACCATCTCACCTCCCTCCCACCCGAGATCATCTACCCACTGATCCACCATGTACTCCTCACCTCACCTCCCTCATACCTGAGATCATCTTCCCACTGATCCACCATGTACTCCTCATCTCACCTCCCTCCCACCTGAGATCATCTACCCACTTATCCCTCATCTCACCTCCCTCCCACCCGAGATCATCTACCCACTGATCCACCATGTACACCTCATCTTACCTCCCTCATACCTGAGATCATCTACCCACTGATCTACTAAGTACTTCTCCTCCCACTTCCCTCATACCTGAGATCATCTACCCACTGATCCTCTCTGTACTCCTCATCTCACCTCCCTCATACCTGAGATCATATATCCACTGATCCCTCATCTCACCTCCCTCCCGAGATCATCTACCCACTGATCCCTCATCTCACCTCCCTCCCACCAGAGATCATCTACCCACTGATCCACCATGTACACCTCATCTTACCTCCCTCATACCTGAGATCATCTACCCACTGATCTACTAAGTACTTCTCCTCCCCCCTCCCTCCCACCAGAGATCATCTACCCACTGATCCACCATGTACACCTCATCTTACCTCCCTCATACCTGAGATCATCTACCCACTGATCTACTAAGTACTTCTCCTCCCCCTTCCCTCCCACCAGAGATCATCTACCCACTGATCCACCATGTACACCTCATCTTACCTCCCTCATACCTGAGATCATCTACCCACTGATCCACCATCTCACCTCCCTCCCACCCGAGATCATCTACCCACTGATCCACCATGTACTCCTCATCTCACCTCCCTCATACCTGAGATCATCTACCCACTGATCCACCATGTACTCCTCATCTCACCTCCCTCCCACCTGAGATCATCTACCCACTTATCCCTCATCTCACCTCCCTCCCACCTGAGATCATTTACCCACTGATCCACCATGTACTCCTCATCTCACCTTCCTCATACCTGAGATCATCTACCCACTGATCCACCATCTCACCTCCCTCCCACCCGAGATTTATCTACCCACTGATCCACCATGTACTCCTCACCTCACCTCCCTCATACCTGAGATCATCTACCCACTGATCCACCATGTACTCCTCATCTCACCTCCCTCCCACCTGAGATCATCTACCCACTTATCCCTCATCTCACCTCCCTCCCACCTGAGATCATTTACCCACTGATCCACCATGTACTCCTCATCTCACCTCCCTCATACCTGGGATCATCTACCCACTGATCCACCATGTACTCCTCATCTCACCTCCCTCCTGCGGTGCTTCATCCCATCCTCTGTGTTCGCTGCGATGTTCTGCGGTGTCCCCTGCCAGATGATTCGGCACTTTATACAGACGCAGAACTCTCCGGAGACGATACCCAGTGTCACCGCGTCACCTGCACACGCCGATCATTAACCAGTCATTATTATCACATGATGGATGACGGGGACTCCGGGGATGAGCATGACATATGTACAGAGACAAGGACGGGATGTATTATAATGACACCGTGGCCATTGGGGCTCTCACCTTGCAGCGCTGGGTCCTGATTATCAGTCTCCTCTCTAAATTGCCGTCAGAGCTATTAGAGTGCCAGCTCCTCAGGCGACTGATGGGGTTGTATACACAATGTGTAAAGCAATCATGTGCTGGTCTCAGTACCCTCATGTCACCCCTCCCCCTCCTGGAATCCAGTGCTGGGTCTCCCCTTCAGAGCATGGCCGCCAGAGCTTCCAGACTTCCAATGACTCCAGTGCTCCCAGTTATACCAGTGCACTCCCAGTCCATGTATCCTCCAATGACTCCAGTGCTCCCAGTTATTCCAGTGCACTCCCAGTCCATGTATCCTCCAATGACTCCAGTGCTCCCAGTTATACCAGTGCACTCCCAGTCCATGTATCCTCCAATAACTCCAGCGCTCCCAGTTATACCAGTGCACTCCCAGTCCATATATAACCCCCATGGGTATCCGGGCTGACAGAGAGCTGCCCTTAAAATGTAGCTGTAAAGCCCTACCCATACTACATCGGGACAACCCTCACCCACTCATTCCAAGGACTTTTGGGTGGAGTTCCACTTTAAATCAGACGCCCCCCGAAATGCATCACCGATGCAGATTTATCATCACACACGAGAATGTTTCTTCACCTTGAATTATTAAGCCCCTCCCCCTCCTTCCCCCACACACCCCTATGGACCCGACCTGGTTTTATATTTCTTCCATTGGCCTTGTTGGTTCTAAACCCTTTATTACCATAACGATGAACCGATACATTCATTGTGACAGAAAAACATTTTATATATATTAAAGGTGCAAAAACTATTTTATTTTTGATGTAAAGTGAAGAAAAACAAGAAAATGTACAAAGACCCCGACATGCCGATTCCGGTAACAAGTCTGACTGCGAAGATTCTATAATGACACAAAACAGAAGATCGCAAACCAAATAAATGAACCGAAACAGGAAATTTACATAAAACAGAAAAAAGAACGTTTCTGTAAGACAGAAAACCCCCCCAAAAAAGCAATCCAGTGCACTCCCAGTCCATGTATCCTCCAATGACTCCAGTGCTCCCAGTTATACCAGTGCACTCCCAGTCCATGTATCCTCCAATGACTCCAGTGCTCCCAGTTATACCAGTGCACTCCCAGTCCATGTATCCTCCAATGACTCCAGTGCTCCCAGTTATTCCAGTGCACTCCCAGTCCATGTATCCTCCAATGACTCCAGTGCTCCCAGTTATTCCAGTGCACTCCCAGTCCATGTATCCTCCAATGACTCCAGTGCTCCCAGTTATACCAGTGCACTCCCAGTCCATGTATCCTCCAATGACTCCAGTGCTCCCAGTTATACCAGTGCACTCCCAGTCCATGTATCCTCCAATGACTCCAGTGCTCCCAGTTATACCAGTGCACTCCCAGTCCATGTATCCTCCAATGACTCCAGTGCTCCCAGTTATACCAGTGCACTCCCAGTCCATGTATCCTCCAATGACTCCAGTGCTCCCAGTTATTCCAGTGCACTCCCAGTCCATGTATCCTCCAATGACTCCAGTGCTCCCAGTTATACCAGTGCACTCCCAGTCCATGTATCCTCCAATGACTCCAGTGCTCCCAGTTATACCAGTGCACTCCCAGTCCATGTATCCTCCAATGACTCCAGTGCTCCCAGTTATACCAGTGCACTCCCAGTCCATGTATCCTCCAATGACTCCAGTGCTCCCAGTTATACCAGTGCACTCCCAGTCCATGTATCCTCCAATGACTCCAGTGCTCCCAGTTATACCAGTGCACTCCCAGTCCATGTATCCTCCAATGACTCCAGTGCTCCCAGTTATACCAGTGCACTCCCAGTCCATGTATCCTCCAATGACTCCAGTGCTCCCAGTTATACCAGTGCACTCCCAGTCCATGTATCCTCCAATGACTCCAGTGCTCCCAGTTATACCAGTGCACTCCCAGTCCATGTATCCTCCAATAACTCCAGCGCTCCCAGTTATACCAGTGCACTCCCAGTCCATATATAACCCCCATGGGTATCCAGGCTGACAGAGAGCTGCCCTTAAAATGTAGCTGTAAAGCCCTACCCATACTACATCGGGACAACCCTCACCCACTCATTCCAAGGACTTTTGGGTGGAGTTCCACTTTAAATCAGACGCCCCCCGAAATGCATCACCGATGCAGATTTATCATCACACACGAGAATGTTTCTTCACCTTGAATTATTAAGCCCCTCCCCCTCCTTCCCCCACACACCCCTATGGACCCGACCTGGTTTTATATTTCTTCCATTGGCCTTGTTGGTTCTAAACCCTTTATTACCATAACGATGAACCGATACATTCATTGTGACAGAAAAACATTTTATATATATTAAAGGTGCAAAAACTATTTTATTTTTGATGTAAAGTGAAGAAAAACAAGAAAATGTACAAAGACCCCGACATGCCGATTCCGGTAACAAGTCTGACTGCGTTTTTTTTTCAGTGCGAAGATTCTATAATGACACAAAACAGAAGATCGCAAACCAAATAAATGAACCGAAACAGGAAATTTACATAAAACAGAAAAAAGAACGTTTCTGTAAGACAGAAAACCCCCCCAAAAAAGCAACAAAAAAAAATGCATTTTTTTAATGTCACAAAAAAATAATCAGCCAAGCTGAAAAAAAAAAATAATGCACAAAGAAAAATAGAAAAAGTCCTGTCACGGCAGAGAGCAGTGACAGGATCGAGAAGTGAGCGAACGCCGGTATGTGTTCGCTCACCTCCCAATCTACTGAGCCGACCTGTGACAGTCTCATTGTCACAGGTCGGCTAGAGCCATGAGGTGAGTGACAAGCCCCTCCCCCCTCCCCCTCATAGTTCTCCTTTAAGGAAAAGTTACTGAAATTTTTTTTTAAAAACACTTTCCCCCTCTATATTAAATTATAAAACATTTATTATCACCCCCACTTTTTGGTAAAATATAAAAGATCGGGTCAAGTCGGGTAAATAGACACCAAACATGTCAAGCCTCAAAATTGCGCGCGCCCGCGAAAACCTCAAAAAACGACCATAGCCAAAATTGGCCATAGGCTGTGCTTTAAAAGATTTTACCGCTCATCAGTTTCGTGTTATCAGCGTTTGGCGGCCATAAAATGATCGCTCTTACTGCGACGTTCGCGGCGATATGTAACGTGTGTAGCGCAATTTTCATGCGCTGGAGCATCAAACGCGTATTTACGTTTTATATGTGCAGAAACGTGAATGAAATACATTTTCATTATATAGTAAAAAATAAACCCCTCCCCCCCAGTGGTGATTAACCCCTTAACGACCTTAATTTTACACCTTGACATGTTTACCCGACGTGACCCCGTCCCTTATATTTTACCAAAAAAATTGGGGCGATAATAAATCTTTCATAACATTTCATGAGGAAACAGGTTTATTTTACAAAATTTAGGGTACTTTTTTTGTTATATAATAAAAAATAACCCCTCCCCCTCCGGTCATCAAGGGGTTAAATAATAACAATGTTTCCTGTTGCCCCCCCTCCCCCCGAGAGTCACAGTGTACTTCTCCTTTAATTATCTGAGGATGTGATAGAGAAGAGTGAGCTACGAGTGCGGAGGATGTGTGATGATCTACAGACACTACACACGGTGACCACCAGGTGGCAGCACACCACCAGCTAATAATGGAGCATCCAAAACCCTAACCCACCCGTTCCCATGTCTCCTTTATAAATCGATGGACCCTCGGCGCTCATTCACCATATCACCACCGCGGTGAAAACATTCACACACTTCATTCTGCAGCTTCGGAGGATTTATAAACCTTTTTTTTAAATTAATAAATGGAACGTTTTGTACATCACACACAGAGATCTTTCCTTCTCCCGGATATAAGAACAGCACATATATATATATATACACTACCCTGTTTCCCCGAAAATAAGACCTAGTTCTATTTTTGGGAATTGCTAAAATATAAGACCTACCCCGAAAATAAGACATAGTTGTGACCATTCCCAGGGCACGGTGGTGGCATAAGGGGGAAACTTGAAGAGCAGAGGGATAGAATCGGTGGTGATCTTCCTGGCTGAGTTGCTGTTGTTCCCGGTTGCTTCCGCTTTGTTATAATCCCAGTAACAGGCGACCGCGGCGGAATATTTAGTAGCCGGGAAATGTCACGGAACATCTGAATCCAATGATTGGGAGGGGGAGGGGCCCAATACTTTTGGCAATATAGTGTATATAGGTTGGGTGGTGGGTGACAAAGGGACTCCATAAGTCTCTTTAAGCCCCATAACTAGTTTTGAATGAATCTTGATAGGTTTCTTGAACTCTGACCCGATACTGCGCATTGCATGATGGTTATTTGAGGGGCCCGATTGGCTCGTTCACATGAACCTTCTTCCTTTGATAGGCTCTCATTAAACAGATCCTGATCTCCTTCAGTCTCAGTCCATAGATGATCGGGTTCACCGTGGCCGGGAAGAGGAAGTAGATTGCACTCACGAGGTTCTGCATGTTGGCCGGGATGACTGCGGCAATCCGGTACACAACGGACGATAAGAAGCCACACGTGTAGATGAGTATGACCACGATGATGTGCGTGCTACACGTGTGTAAGGCCTTCCTTATAGCTTGCCCTCTAACAGTCTTCATCGTCGTTCGGAGAATGTCCAAGTACGAAATAAGAATGAAGTTCCCGTCCAGCACCGAGACGCAGATCCTAATGACAAGGCCGGTGATGTGCGTCCGGGAGATGTCCCCGCAGCCCAGATTCAAGAGCGCCATATTTTCACAGGCGAAACTCTGGATGACGTTGGAGCCACAGAACTGGACTTTGGAGACGGATATGACTATTGGACACACCAGGACGACGCCCCTGATCACGCTAACGAGAACCAGCTGCCCCAGAAGCTGGCTGGTCATGATCTCACGGTAGCGAAGAGGTCTACAGATTGCCACATGCCGATCAAAAGCCATCAGCAGAACCACCGCAGACTCCAGAACAATGGTGAGGTAGATGACGAACATCTGCACCAGGCAACTGTTCAGAGATATCTGGAACTCGCCGGAGACCAAACTCAACAGGAAGGGAGGCATGATGGTGTTTGTACAAGAGAGGTTCACGAGGAAGAGGAGAGAGATGAGTGTGTACATCATGGACTGCAGGCTCTTCTCCACCCAGATCCTGTAGATGATGAGAGAGTTTCCTGACAGTATGGCCGCATACGCAAACAGAAATGGAACGATGAGGAGCGTCCGGGATTCGGCAAACTGGGGGAACCCATAGAGGAAGAAGCGGGTATGGGAGGAGTTAAAGGTCTGACTGAGATGGGAGACTTCCATGTCCAATATCTGCAAAGAAAGATAAAGACATGAAATAGAGGGAAGGATGGTGGCTCCACCCCCTGGCAACCAAGTCATCAGCTCCATAGATGGGCACTGCACAAGCACAGGAAACCCGGCAGTATCAGTATGGAGAAGGACTTCTACTATGGAATCTCATGGTGTCAGTCCCATCTGGAGAAGGACTCCTACTATGGAACTTCATGGTGTTAGTCCCACCTGGAGAAGGACTTCTACTTTGGAACTTTATGGTGTCAGTCCCATCTGGAGAAGGACTTCTACTTTGGAACTTTATGGTGTCAGTCCCATCTGGAGAAGGACTCCTACTATGGAACTTCATGGTGTTAGTCCCACCTGGAGAAGGACTTCTACTATGGAACCGTATGGTGTCAGTCCCATATGGAGGAGGACTTCTACTATGGAACTTTATGGTGTCAGCCCCATCTGGAGAAGGACTTCTACTATGGAACCGTATGGTGTCAGTCCCATCTGGAGAAGGACTTCTACTATGGAACCGTATGGTGTCAGTCCCATCTGGAGAAGGACTTCTACTATGGAACTTTATGGTGTCAGTCCCATCTGGAGAAGGACTTCTACTATGGAACCGTATGGTGTCAGTCCCATCTGGAGAAGGACTTCTACTATGGAACCGTATGGTGTCAGTCCCATCTGGAGAAGGACTTCTACTATGGAACTTTATGGTGTCAGTCCCATCTGGAGAAGGACTTCTACTATGGAATCTCATGGTGTCAGTCCCATCTGTAGAAGGACTTCTACTTTGGAACCTTAATGAAATATCTTATCTGATTCTCCTCTTATTTAGAGATCATCCTGTCACATCGATCAAATACAAAACACATAATAACTAGTGATGGGCCAATCACCCCCATGTTGTATCACATACACATTGTGTCCGATACGTACCCCAAATATATACACCGTCACCCCAGTAGCTGGATGGATCCCACTATTCAGGGGAAGATTGTAACCAAAGGAAGGGGGTGAAATCTTGGGGGGGGGGGGATAAAAGGATTATGGCAATTGTTTGTTCAGATCTATTCAATAAAAACATAGAGATCAACCTACATCGCATGTAAAGAAAAAAGAGGAGGCGGAGTCCTTACATTAGACCAACCACATTAGACCAGCCAGCAGCATAGGTGTGCAGGTGCCATGTAGGCTACCTCATCCTAGGAGGACCTCCCTTGTATACCCTGCCATGCCATAACAATGGCACCACGGCGTTTGGCACATTCGCGTGTATGCGCCATTGCGTACTGACGTCATGACTGGGCGCCCGGTATCCAACGTTGGCCCAACATCGGGCAGCCTAACCGCATATGTCCATTACACCATCGCAGGACCGATGAGGACATGAAAACCTGGGGAGGAGCCAACATGGTTTTGCAACCCCCCAGGTAGATAGCACCAGGAGGTCCATTCCCATCCAACAGGAATCCACTAACCAAACCCACCGAATATCACCTATGGATCAGTCAGGACCAGCTCACCCACATTGCCTCCATGGGATCCACCATAAAATATACAAGGGGAACAAATAAGGGGACCTTTGGCACATATCCCGAGCCTTGGCCAGGAAGAGCCGTCACCTCTCTAAGTGGCTGGAAAACACCCCCCTGTATACGGGACACCCGAATGTCCACCTGAGAAAAGACACGTCCTCACCTAATGGGCAACGGCAAGAAGACAATATGTCAGAAATGGATACAAAACGCAGAACAGCCAATCCTAAAAATCCCCAAATCTCAAGGACATCCCTTTCCCAACGCAACCACCCAACAGTGCCCACCATCAGTGACCATGTCATAGAGCGTACGTCATCAGAACATATCACAAATATCACCTGACCCACCATGGCGTTCCATGTCATTCAGTCCGGGAGGAGGCGTGGCCTTTTGTTCAGAGTTCCATCCTGGCGCCTCGCTGTACAATGACCTCATCCCAGTGACCTCCCTACCGGTCCTTATATACCCTCTCTAGACCATCGAGAGATATCACACTAGAGTCATTCTTATAGGAGAGGTCTACGTGTCGCCCAGTGGGGCTCATATGTGACATACGTGATCGTTCACCCTCCTCTGATGTCCATTGCTGAGCAGTCAACACAATGTGTTTGTGGAACGTTCCATTAGGAGGAGACACGTTCCTCTCTGATCCATGTACAGTAGGAGGACTTCCCTCATCAGAATGTACCCAACCTATGGAGTGGTGACTATGTACTAAGCTGTCCCTGACGGAGGACGACCTTCTGAAGAACATTCCGGGGGAACTGCGTATGTAGAACATCTAGATATGAAGAGCTCAATATTCCTCTGTGTCTCATTCCAATAAAGGGGAACCCCACCGAGGATCAGATGGACTGCATTCCATATCATTGGGCACTGCAGCCGTTCCTGAACTGAGTGTTGTAAATCAATTCACAGCAACTGAGAGCGAAATACACCCAACATGGCCGAGGAGAGAATCCTCCAACAAACCCAACTGCTAAGTGTGTCATGGCCAGTTTACTGCTCGGGGGGGCATTAGAGTGTAAGCTCCTCTGTACAGAGACTGATGTGACTGTGGGGGGGGAGGGGACATTAGAGTGTAAGCTCCTCTGTACAGAGACTGATGTGACTG